ACCAGGGGGAGGAATGTTTCTAAAAGCGCTGAGAGATTTTTACGAGACCTTACTGTGTAAAAATGTCTGGTCGTTTTGCCACCTACCCCTCCCGGATAGTCTCCTCCTGAGATCCTGTAAAAAGCAGGATATCTACCCTAGGATGTCTTGTTCTTTACTTCCTTAGTTTAATGGGGTTTTGGGAAATTGCAAAGCAGAAGCATTTTATGAACTGATAATAGGAAATTATGTTCGGAATAACTACAGATTTCCTGGGGTCACTTAGGGTAATAGCCCTTAATTCATCATTTTGTATCAAAGGCTTTGCTTTGAACTGCTAAGAATGTTCTTTTCTGTGAAATTAAGCAAAACTCAGGAGGTGTGACACAGATACAGTATATATTTTGAAAATATTTACATGTGTATATACTGTACATTTATATATTTATATTCTTATAATTTATATTATACAGAAATATATTTAATATATAAACAACATATTTTTCTTAAATATATACATGCATGTGTTTGTATTTATGTATACATAATAAATATACACAGTATACACATATTATGTCAACAAAAACTTTTATTTTGGTTGCGATTAATTGCGATTAATCGTTTGGCAGCACTACTAACAATGCTTTCAGACAGCCAGAGCTTTAGCAAACCCCACAGAGGAGCAGAGGTTAAACAAAATGTGGCCATTTACGAGGAGATCCTACTGTTGAGCTTCTACCTGATGAGGCAAATGATTCTGTTCTAAGGCTTGATGTGCTTATATCCCAGCATGACTTCTGCTCTCTTCGCTCCTCCGGTCGTGCCCGTGAAATCGGCGCAGTGCAGCATTACCATTCAAGCCTCCAGCTATGTCAAATCTCAGTCTAGATCAATTATAGCATCCAGCTTCTCTTCCGAATCTCTGTCTGACAGATGCTGCGGTTTTATATGCATGTATCAAAATCTCATATTCATACACGTGAAATCCACTGATTAGGTGTCTTGAGAGGAGGATGTGGGTGGAGAGGGGATTGCATTCTGGTGTTTTTGTCGTTTTTGTCATTTTTGGGATATTTTGAGGTGAACAGATAGATAGATATAGATAGATAGATACTTATTTATACTTATTTGAGATAAGTTGTTGTTGTTTTTTTAAAGAAATAAATACTTTTATTCAGCAAGGATGCATTAAATTTTACCAAACGTGACAAGGCTTTTACATTATCAAATAATAAATCAAATAAATGCTGTTTTTGTGAAGTTTCAAAGAAACCTAAAAAAATATGTCACAGTTTCCACAAAAATATAGCATAACTTTTCAATATCAATAATAAGAAATTATCTGAGCACCAAATGAGCATATTAGAATGATTTCTGAAGGATCATGTGACACTAAAGACTGGAGTAATGAAAATTCAGCTTTGCCATCACAGAGATAAATTACATATTAAATATATTAAAATATAAATTTTATTTGAAATTGTAATAATATTTCTCAGTGTTACCGTTTTTAATGTATTTTGATCAATTAAATGCAGCCTTAGTGAGCATAACAGCATCTTTCAAAAATATATAAACAAATATTTAAATTTTTTAAATAGTTTAACATTGCGTTAGGCCTATGTATATTTACTGTAATATACTGCATCTATGATAGTTAAAGTAAAATAATTTCCAGTTTTTCAGTATCTATAGGTAATACTTAAGAAAATTGTTTTTAATAAAAATGGGTGCCAACTTATAATTTACATTGAAAAACCATAAAAGGAGGTTAATTACTATTAAATGTAAACTTTACCAGAACTCAGCATGAATGTCTACTTTTTTCGTGCTGTACATTATAATTTCTGTGCCAAAGTTCCTTTGTACTTTTTAATTTGAACTAAAATCAGTCCATTTCAAATCAAGTTACAAAGGGAACCTTCAACCCATGATTTCATTTGAGATCCTGTTGCCCCTTTTTGACCATGTTCCCACTCTCATTCTGTTGTGGTGAAATGCCATGCTGTTTTTCCATGGTGAATGGGATTACACTGACAGCAGAGAATGTTTGGTGTTGACACAGCATGCAGCTTGGTTAGTCCTCCAAATCCCCTGCTGTTCCTGAGACCAAACAGCAAAATCTGCTCATTTTTCAAACCAATTGCTTTGGGAATATGAACTGGCTAGAGGAAAGTCCTGTATTTGTGTAAGGGACTAAATAGTCCTTCCTCTGGTTTTAATTAAGAAAGACTCAGGGAACCAAGTGCTTCCTGTCCGACAGATTGTGCTTTGAATTTTTACGACAGGTTGTGTCAGCACAACTAAATAAACAATGTACACCCTAAGGATAAAATAAGAGAAGGATGAACACTGCACTACATCTTACCAAAGACACATACTGCAACTTTTGACTATGAACATGTATTGTTTTGACTTGAAATGATAATGAAAAAAGATGGAATAAAAGTACAGTAGACACGACATCCACAACAGCTATGATGTTTGGCACATCTTTTAACAAGAACCTGAAATTGACAACAGATGTTGGCACATACTTAAGAAACTTGTCTGACGCAGAGCTGAATAAATTTGGAGGACAGTGATTAAAATTGTCGGTTGCTTAACAATATCCTGATAAATTTACAAGAAAAAACAGTAGATTTGGTTGCCAGAAATTCACCATAAAAATGGTGATATGTTTTTGGTATTACAAGATGGCATATATAACTGTGTATTTTATCAAGTTATATAATGTTAATATACCTATCTACTTGAATGACCAAATCTGCTTTGTACTAAAAAAATCTACTGATAACCACCAGAATAATCATCGTAAGTGGCCTGTTCTCAAAACTCAACAAATACACCCTCTGAAAAAAAGGTACAAAGGTTCACTTTAGGTACTAATATGTACTTATAAGGTACTAATGTGCACTCTATATAGCTTTTTATATTTTTTTGTAGTGTATATAGAATAGTCAAACACATATAAACAACACACCATCAGGGTAAGAAACATGACACTAAAACTAAATAATGCTATAAGCAATAATTAACAGAAAATGTTGATATACACTACTGGTAATAATAAATAAAAAACAAAATTATTTAAAATATAATCATATGTGCCACATTATTTCACATTATTTTACAGTAAAATGACATATAATGCAATGTTCAACCATTTACAGTTTTTCACCATATATGGTAAGGTGTCCCACCCACTGTGAAATCTTATTGGTCCAAAATCCTTTTCCTCATAACTACATTAAACATCAATTTAAAAAAAAAAATAAAAAAATTTAATGTGGCTTTCCACAACAGATTTTACATCTAGCAGCGACTAAATAGTGCAAATAGGGAAATTACTAATCCTGTGGTTGCCCCATTTTTTATTTATCTTTAATCCAACTGATGCAGCAAATGAGTAGTATAGCTCAATTTGTAATAGTGCAAAAATGGTTTTTATGGTCATTTTACATCATTTTAATCTAAACTACTCTCTATTGATAGGATGAGAGATTTATATTCATCAAATGTCTTTCATCATAATGAATCAATGTAGTCAATCATTAGCTCATTATTGACAAGATGAGATCATTAATCATGTCTGTTGTTTGCATAACCCTTTCTGAGAGAAAACAGTGGTTCATGGACCGCTTGGTTTGCATGTTAACAACCTTTCTTGTGCCTAATTGGAGAAGCTTACTCCCCCACACCTTTAAGCCCTTTTGGCCCATTCCAACAGGTTTAATCACTCGGCTTCAAAGGCTTGTTTTGATGGCTTAAACCTTGTCTCTCCCCAGAGACTAAGGTCTGTTCGGCCTTGGGGCCTTAAAAGGGAGAGGGAGGTTTTAATGAAAGACAAGAACAGACTGCAGAAAACACTAAGTAAGTGTGTACAGAGCTGGTCATTATCACAGCACAGAGTGTTGTGCCAGGAGCTGTACCATATGACTTTCAACACTTTGACAGCCTCCTTTTTCTCAAGGGATTGCACTTAAAGCCCCTGTCAGACACCTGCCACAAGGTCAGAGAACACCTGGACGGCTTCTGCCACATTTCAATCAGATGTATCGATCAAGTGTCTGAAGCAGAGGAGTTGCTTAAATATGTGCTGAGTTGATGTGTTTTATCAATATAGTGTCAATATAGACAATATCGAGTGTCAGGGAGTATTTGGGGCTCAGTTCAGACATCTGCAAATGCCTATTCTTTGAAAAAATATTGGAATATGATACACTTGAAGTATTAAGTATTGAAACATTACATCTGTGGTGTGTCATTGTTTATGAAGTAGATCTCTCAAAATTACTGCTGGAATTAAACCTAAAAAGACCCCTCTAACCTATAGTCTCAGCCCCAGGCATGGCCAAAATAATCAAAAATAGTTTTTGACCCTTTTGGCTTTCCATAGTCTAGTAAGTGCTTTACACTTATAATAGTTTTGTCATTCACTCCCCAGGTGTTTTTAAGGTTCTTTATAAGTACAATGGGTGCTTCTGAGAAGAATTTGTGTTATTTTTGAAAAAGTAGTTATTTTAAATTGAAATAATATTTCATAATATTACTGTTTTACCGTATCACAAACTGTTTTACCGTATCACATCACATCCTTCCAGAGGGGCAGACGTCCTGTAGGATGTGTCCCTCATCGTGTATGTGAATAGCATAGCATGATCATGAACAGAGAGGGGAAGAGGTAGAGCAGTGAAAGTGTATAATGACAAATAACAACACTCACATCCTCTGTGGTCATCTATTAGCATTGAACTTTAAGGCATCCTGCGTTGTTCAAATATACCGCAGACCGAAAAGGGACCTTTAGCATAGACACAGATAAACATAATGCAGATGCCATTTGAGCTCTTTTGTTCAAACCCCTTGTTGAGTCTAGATGGAGGAAACAATGTTTGCAAGTGTAGAGAACACAATTAAAGAGCGCACGGTCCCCTCAGACTGTAAGGTCAGAAGAAACAAATCAATTTACCAGGGAATGACCAATCAGTGTACGCTGTGGTCGATCTTAAATGCCATTGCAGACGGAAAGAGAGAGCAGAGGCACTGCATCTTTTGACCTGAACCCTGAACCACATCAAAGAACTCATGGTAGGTGCTTTTGCTTATTAACATAAACAGAGCATCTGTGTGTTCTTAAAGCGATAGTTCAACTGAAATCGACCCTCATTCTGTTTTAAGTTCGGTTATAAACATGGCTGATGTTACTTTTTCTTTTCGGCAGTGTCTATTTACACTAATTTCAAATAGCCAACTTTGTTTGCGAAGGCTATTTTCACTTACTCCGCCCACTATTGCGCAGATATTTTTTATTTAGTACCACAGAGAATATTACTTACATTTACACTTTGTTTGAAGAGCATCTAACATATACCTGCTGCGAACAGTATCTAGCATTATTTACACAACACTAGACGCTTACTATTTTTTTCAAGTGTAAAGTCACATTAACACATACATTTCTGTAGAATTTCATAGGCAATTTTGTCTGTTGTCATGTCAATAGTGTAACGATGTATGAATTCACTTCCAAACCAAGCAGCTTTCTGTTGGTCAGTGGCACAAGTTCACGTGAGCAACTTGGACCTGTTTTCAAAATCTACACGGTGAAATCTTTCACCCTAATGAAAAATTCTTGGTCGCATGGATTCTTACTAAAATGACTGGATTCTGCCCTTGAAAGTCCATTAAATAACAGTAAATGCGACTGCACCTTAAGACAAAAGGTTAAGTTTTGAAGAATCTTTACACTGCTCTTTGCCATTCAGTGTAAAAAAATGCTCAAAAAGAATGTTGTTCTTATAACTCGTGTAATAGTTTCAGTCTTTTGAAATCACTCCATAGTTCTGTGTGAAGAAAAGACTCAAATTTAAAATATTTCCAGTTCTCTGCAGCACAGATTTCATTCTCCATTCTGTATATTCAAACTTGGTTGTCACATTCGGCTACAACACAATGGAATTTGGTGTCAAGGACGTCAAACCTGCTGCATTTTTTAATCTGAATGCAAATTCAGATAAGATTTCAGAGCTTTGGCAGATGGGAACATTTTCTGTGAATAACAACTCATTCCTTAAACAAAGGTGACATATGACTTCAGAAGTCTCATATGAAACCACTTTTATGGTGGTTTAATCATTTTTACAGTTTGACGGACATTGTCACATTGTATGGAAAAAAATGTAAATAATAATTCACAAATTTCAAATACAAATTTCTTGTATTGTGCATTACATACGTCCTCTCTTTGTGCTTTGTCTTTCTCTTCACAGCTATGATAATCACAATCAATACCTTTTACCAGTGTAGATGGGATTTGCTCAATTCAGGGCAGTGATTTTGCTATACATAATAATTGCTTTGTAAATTCACCAATCAATACAACATTAATCCAGTCCATGCAAGCAAATTTTGCCTCTTCCACACAGTGCACATTCCATGCACCATATCTAGCAGATAGCTTCATTAAAAAGGAAATGCTACACAAAAATGAACTGAGTCGTAATGCAGTGAAATCATTGTGTTGACACTGTTGTTTGGCTGGTGGTGCACAAAGCCATTGTGACACTGTCAACAGCAGGGAGGTGATTGTCTTATACAGAAGCGGCATCTTTTATTTCTCTGTCATGGCTGGGATCCAGTCTTTGTGGGGAACTGATTTGCATTAAAACTCAGTGCATTAAAATTCCACACACATACCAGCAATACACATACGTGGTGCTCAAAGTTAAAGGTCCCGCTGACAGAGATGCATCAACCGCTCTGTTCACCCTCTAAAGCCGACCCTCAAATGCCAAATAAGCAAAATGCTATGTTGATGAAGATTTGTGGTTTGACTTTTATTTTTGCCCTTCGTGCCTTTTAGGTTGCTTTGTTAAAGAAAGCATCTGCAAAGATGGAAATGAAAATCAGCCATCCTGTATTTACTGTGGAAGCTGTCATGCCGCAGACAGTATCTAAAGTTAAACTGATGGCACTTTATAACAAATGGTAACTCTCCATAATAATCATCTCCACGCCATCCATCTATAACAATGCTGGAGATTGGAGCTCTCAAGTGGCCACTTGAGTCTGATGCTGTGTAATGGCGTCTGTCATTTCTAAATTTTCACATCAATATTTTCATATTAATCATGCGGGACTCATTCACACTGTACCTCAGAATGAAGGAGCTCAATACACATTTAATTCTGTTAATTTCCACATCATTTACAGTATGATTCTCTCAGATCCTTGTATAGTGCAAAGCAAGGGGAGGCTAGGATGTGTCCTTAAGAGCAATGTGCAGTTAATGATAAATCGTAACATGTTTAGAGATGAATTTCACATGCGTGATGCATCATCCACTTTTTATTAAGAGAAATAAATGGAAACATTTGCTAATATAGTTGTTACAAATCATTGAAAATCATGTGTCATGTTTCCCCCCCTGTTTGGGAAAGATGAACAACTTCCTGTGGCAATAACCCACCTGTTCCAGCTGTCTTTAGATTTTTATACTATGTATAAAATAATTTTTTTCTTGGAATTTTTTTTATATTCATCTTTTCTGTGTAATTTGATCAATATGAATATTGATTGACAAATGACAGTCAAGTAAATACATCAGATACAAACTTATTTGTAAAAATTACATACAACAAAGTGTGGCTGTCACAATGACAATAATAACTATAAACTCTGAATATTTTAAAGTAATTATAGGTTATGACAAATGTTAAAGGTTCAATTTTTATGGAATTATAAATAACTCCATAAATCAAATCTTTAAATTTGATCATTATCATTTGTCAAAACCTGTTGTTGAATTATTAAATAGGATTTTATAATCATTATTGCTACTGTGACATGCTTTCTTTGTTGTATGTAATCTTTTATGAAGAAAAAAAATATTCTTGAATATTCTATGAGTGTGTGTGTGTGTGTGTGTGTGTACCTGGTATTCATCACGTTATGGGGACCAAATGTCCCCACAAGTATAGTAATCCCAGTAAATTTTGACCTTGTTTGGTCCCCATGAGGAAACAAGCTTATAAATCACACAGAATAGAGTTCACACTTACATATAATAAACAGAGTAAAGGTTATGCGTCTTTGGCGTGCTGTCCGGGGAGAGGGCTCAGAGCTCGGTAATTTCCCCGAACCCGGAGCACTCCCCCCCATTGATTTGGGAGCGAAAGAGGTTAATAAAAGAGTTTGGTTTTTTTTTTTCATTTTAGAGTGCTGTCTTTGTAAATGTAATCTTGCTCCACGATTGTAGGCATTGTATTTCACTGGAAAAACCTTAAATATCCTGGAAATGGACTGTTGTACTCTTTTGCAGCTTTACTTTCTCATGCTTTCTTTGTTGTATGTAATCTTTTATGAAGAAAAAAAATATTCTTGAATATTCTATGAGTGTGTGTGTGTGTGTGTGTGTGTGTGTGTACCTGGTATTCATCACGTTATGGGGACCAAATGTCCCCACAAGTATAGTAATACCAGTAAATTTTGACCTTGTTTGGTCCCCATGAGGAAACAAGCTTATAAATCACACAGAATAGAGTTCACACTTACATATAATAAACAGAGTAAAGGTTATGCGTGTTTGGCGTGCTGTCCGGGGAGAGGGCTCAGAGCTCGGTAATTTCCCCGAACCCGGAGCACTCCCCCCTTGTCTGGAGAGAGGGTTCCTAGCTCGGTATTTGCCCAAACACAGAGCACTCAAGTAGGGTTGGTGTAGGGCGATAGAAAATACGGTTTGTACAGTATAAAAACCATTACGCCTATGGAGAGTTCCTACAAAAAATGGAAACCAGTGTGTGTGTGTGTGCGTGCGTGCGTGCGTGCGGGTGTGTGTGTGTGTGTGTGTGTGTGTGTGTGTG